GGTTCCTGAGCATCGCCATACTGGGGAACCAGCGCGCGATCTCCCTGTACTCCGCCCGGATCTCCTTGTTCTTGCCGCCGAGAGCTTCGATGGCGAGCTGCCATTCCATGGCGACGGCGGTGGCGGTGGTTGTCGGCGGTGATTTCGACAGGAGAGAGGGGGAAGTGGAGTGGGCGGTGCGACCGACGAGTGGGCGAGTGAGGAGAGGGCGTGGTGGGTGGACACGTAATAAAGTAGTAGAATCCGAAACGACTGGTCCACGCTGCCGGCTGCTACGCACGCTGAAAAGAGGACGTGGCTAACAACATATAATAAGTTTGGCCGATACTAGTCAAACAAATCACCAGCACTAGCCCATTGGTATTGAACGCATAATTACAACCAACTGGTCCTGGGTTCGAGCCCCAGGCCAGACTTTTTTTGTGCAGATTTTTTTTCGTACAATGAATTTGGCAATAAGTTCTGTACTGTAGAAATGGCAAAGTAAAACAAAAAAACAAATCAAAACAACTCAGTAGCACTTAGCCCATTTGTATTGGGCACAAATAAGTTCACATGTCACATTGTCCAGAAATTAGTAGCACAACACACATTTAGTAGCAGAACACAAACTTAGTAGCAGAACACAAATAAGTAGCATACACTCAATAGTTTCCACTAGCATTGAAATAGGATGCAAACTTGCTAGGAGGTTTCCTCTTCCTCTTGCCTGCCAATATCCCTGGTTCTCCAGTGGATGTTCTTGGTGCATTGAATGTTCTTGTAGATGCTGATCCTCTTGTTCTTGCAGCTCTTGTTGATGCAGATCCTGTTGCAGGTGCTGGTGAAGACCTGGCTGCTCCTGCTGAAACTGTTGATGTTGAACCTCTCTTATTTGCTTTAGGAGGTGGAGCTGATGATGCTGGCATCTGTGTAGTTTGGTGTTGAGGTGGTGGTTGTGGAGGTGGATGTGTAGCACTAGAACTAAAAATTTCTCTATTCTCCTGCATGACAAAATTAAATCAGTTAGTAAATATACCGGAACTAAAAAAAGTAAACAAAGAATGCATCATTTTTGAATGACCTGGTGTAAGTTCTTTCTCATCTCAAGACTAGGTTTTAGAGCTTTCCCACAATTAGTATATCTGTGGCCTTGTAGACCACAATTGCTGCATGTAATTGTTCCCATCCTGCTTGTGTCCTTTGGAGCAGGCACCTCAAACTGCCCCTTTCTCCTAGCTGTCTGTTTTTTGCCTGCTTTTTCTTTGAACACTGGGGGCTCAATATCAGGAGTATGGGTGTCAGGCCAGAATTCAGGACCAGGGACAGGGTACACTATGTCTTTGTATGCTTCAATATATAGTGCTTTTTTGAAAAATTCATGCACATAGTCCTCTGGGTGCATGTGAATCTTGCTCATTGCTGCTATTGCATGACTGCATGTCACACCTGTCATGTCCCACCTCCTGCAGTCACATGATTGAGTAGCTAGGTTCACACAGTACTGATTTTCCTTACTATTAACTTGCCAAATGTCAGGACCTGCCTTATATGCATCACAAAATTTGGCATACTTCTTATTCTCCTCTAATTTCTCTGAATAGTTGGGTGTGATCATCCACCTGCTGTTCTCTGTTTTTTCCCTAGTCTTCTGCCTTTTGATCATCTGCTTAGTCCTAATTCCTTCAAACATAGTCCTAATTGGTTTGGCCCTAACATCAAGGATCATTTTGTTGAAAACCTCACTAAGGTTGTTCACAACAAGATCAGTTTTGCAATTGTAATCCATTGCAGACCTACACCAAGTCTCCTTTGGAATTTTTTTAAGACACTTCCAGGCATCCTCACACTCTGCTTTAAGCTCTGCCATTGCCAATTCATGGCCATGTTTGGTGAATGAGTAGCTAGCCTGATCTACTAGCTTCTTTAGTTCTGCTCCTCTGAAACCAGCTGACTGAAAATTTGCATATATGTGCCTGAGGCAGTATCTCTGAGGGGAATCAGGGAACACCTCATTTATAGCCTTAAGAAGACCCTGATTGTAAATATATAACCATGGTCATGAACAAAAGGAAATAAAGCTACTAATAACAATATATATCTGAACTAGTGGCTAAGATAGGGTGCATACCTTTTGCCTGTCAGAAATAATGGTGTAGGTTCCAAATTTGCTACCACTTCCAATGCAACATCTTAGCTGGGTTAGGAAACATGTCCAACTATCTGAATCTTCCTTATCAACCACACCAAAGGCTATGGGGTAGATGTTGTTATTGCCATCTCTTCCTGTGGCTGCAAGTATTTGCTGTCCAGTGGTTAGCTTGATGAAGCAACCATCAAGCCCTGCATCCATACCCAAATTAGCTACCATATATTTACAACAAGATATTTTGAACAAATTGCAGTTATAGATTTACCTATAAAGGGCCTGCAACCATTAAGAAATCCTTGCTTTGATGCATGCAAGTAGTAGAACATGTACTTAAATCTAGGTGTTGGGGCAGGGTTTTCTGGGTCCTCAAATGTTGTAACTACACACCTGCTACCAGGGTTTGTGTCAAGAACTGCTTGTAGGTAGTCCCTCAGCCTATAGTACTGCTCCTTCTGGTCACCTTGTACAACCTTCATAGCCTTCCTCCTTGCCCTATAGGCCACACTCTTTGATACATCAACTGAAAACTTGACTTTGCTGTTTTTAATAAGTGAATCCACAGGTGCTCTAGGATCTGCTCTAAGAGATGGCTCAACTTCTTTGGAAAGCCACTTAGTAGTAACCTTTGTGTTCTCTGCTGATGCTGGACAAGTGTGCTCCATGTTACACTTCTTAATGCAAAATGTTCTTTCATGAGCTATCCTAGAGGCACACATGTAAAATTCACATCCATGCTCTCTTTGTGAACACCAAACAATAATTCTTGTTGGAGTGTTCCTGTGGTAGTGAAAAGACCTCAAAGTCCTTATATGAAAATCTCTTAATGCTTCTCTGAACTGGTAAACACTATCAAAACACAAGTTCTTGCACAAGAGTAAATGTGAATTGGGAATTGAGGGGTCAAAATATAGCCTTTCCTTCATCTTTTTCTTACTACTCTTTGTGTTTGGCTTCTTCATGAGGTATGGTAGTTCAACATCATCTACTTCTTCCTCATCACTTATGCCTGCATCACCAGCAAAACAAAACTCATCTGCTTCAGGAAACCAATCTTCAAAACGTTTTTTCTCTACCTCTTTGTGACATCTGCTAGTTGGACCAGGATTCTTCACATGTTTCACAATAGCAGTAGTTTGCAATGTTGTATCCTCTTCAGAGACGCACACTATTTCCATTGGTTGAACAGCTTCAGCACTCCCATCTGAATGAACTGAATCCTCAGAACAAAATTCAGACACTTCAGTGTCTCCTTCAAAGTGGTTCAAATCTGCCTCTCTTTGAATCCTGCTCCTCTCAAGCTGAGCCTTTCTATCATCTATCTGATTCTGAAGCTCAGATTGCTCCACAACCTTTTTCACACAGCAGCTCTCTTGAGTGTTCATGTAATTCTCATTAGCATGTGTACTAATTCCAGGTTCAACATTTCTCACAACCCTTATGTTGACTAGCTTGACATGATGAAAAAAGTCCAACATTTCATGAACACTAGCTTCATTACCTAAATACTTTACTCTGTCAGATCCAATTTCCTCCTCCTTCACATAGTACATGTAATCACTGTCCCCATACCCTTCACTAGCAATGAGTGATTGTAGAGTAAGCAAAGAAATATCTGACTCAAATATACCCCTTTTCACAGGGTTTCTTCCTTCTAAATGAAACCATATATCCCACTTCTGGTCAGCCAAACTGCACAAATAAGTGCTCATGAATTGAATTGAAATTGACTGAGCTATACAGTTTACTGACTCCAGTTTACTACACATGTCCAACTAACAGAAACAAACACATCTTACTAATTTGCAATGTTGAAGCAGCTAACCAAAAGCCCAGCAGATGATACTTGCATACCTGCGACCCATTGGCGATGACTGGGAGAGCGGTGCCTCCGGCTGCTGCGAGCCGGCCTGCATCGAGAAACTGGTGCTCCCCAACCAATTATCGACTGAGCCGCTGGCCATCGGTGGAGCCGCGGGCGAGGCAGCAGCGTCCAAACTTGTCTCGCCGCCAGCGTTGCCGCCGCCAACGTCGCCGCCGCCAGCGCCGCCGCCCTCCGGAATCAACGAGGACATGGCGGCCGCCACCTAGGTCAGAGAGAGGGAGAGGAGGGAGAGAGTGAATCGAGAGGGGAACGGATCAGATTTGACCCGCACCGCACCGACAGGCGCCGTTCCGACAGCGGACGGGCCGTTAACGGCCATTTACGCGCGGCGGGCGACCGTTAGCCAACATGGCGCCTGATTCGCGGGCCCAACCGGTCAGATTCGGGGTTAGCGCGGGCGAAGCGAGCGATTTCACGAGTTGGTAGTTTTTTGCCACGGTTTAGTCCAAATTTGATAGTTTTTCGTACAAAAACGTAAAGTGGTAGTTTTTCGTCACGTTTCCGTCAATTGTGGTAGTTTTTGGTTAAATACTCCCTCAAAGGAGATAACAGTCCGACATTGGGTCACTCTTAGTTCTCAGCGTCCCTTGCCTTCAAGGAGAGGAGGATGACGGCGTATTTGGTCTTCACTTTCTCGAGGTGGTTCGCGACATTCCGTGCGTACATCTCAAAGAGACCGTCCATTACATGCTCTCCGAAATGACGCACAAGCATGGGCCCGATGATGGCCCGCGCAGTCCTGGCGACGTTCACGCCGCTCTCGGCGCTGTCAAGCACCACATCGCCGTCCGAGTCATCCTGAGGATCCCAGTTGGGCTCGAAGAGCTGGATATGGTTGACGTCGAACAGTCCGCTCTGCTCGATTACTGCCCCGACTTCGTCAATGGAAGGCGCGTACAGCGGCAGGTTGAAGGAATCCATCTTCTCCTTCTCCACACGGCCCTGCCCATATATGCATCGCATCAGGAAAAGCCAAGTTCAATTCAGTTATATGTAACACACGTACTCCCTCCGTTTATTTTTAGTCCGCATATAAAATTTAGTCAAAGTCAAACTATGCAAAGTTTGACCACATTTCAAAAGATATCAACATACACAATACTAAAGCTATAAGCCATGAAAGTTAAATTCATGATGTATCTAAAAATATTGGTTTAATTGTGTGAATGTTGATTTTTTTTTCTATAAAGTTCGTCAAAGTTTACAAATTTTCACTTTGACCACGCCTTATATACAGACTAAAAAGAAAACAAAGGGAGTACCTGTTGAACTAGGGACTGGAGAGCTTGGGAGAAGAGCCCAGCTCATCTCGCCGCGCAGAACGTCACTGTTCTTCCTGCCCAGGAATGTCAGAACCATCTGGCCGCTGGCCACGAGCTCAGTGTGGCGTAGCTTGAGGAACAGCGACATGTCCTCGAGGAACTGCTCCTGGTACAGCTTCACCACTGACGGCGGCGTTGTCTCCCAGATGTATATGTTGCCTTGGTTCAGGATCGCGCCGCTAACGAGATCCGCGGGCACCTTAGAGCGTATCATGAGGCAGTAGGAGTAGAAGAGGTGGACGGACCGGTCAGGGAAGAGTCTTGCGTAGAAGGAGCCTGGCAACCCGGCAATGTAGTAGGGAGGCCAGGTTGCTCCCTTGCCCTTGGTGAAGAGCTCCAGGGACCGGAATACGAGGTTGAAGTCGTTGCTGGGGAGGTCGTTCAGGAAGAACTGGACGTGCACCGGCTTCTTCTCGCAGCGGCTGGCAAACGCGCCGAGCACCTCAGAGACGACCAGCAGCGTGTTGGGCCCCGACGAGCAGCCGAGGTCGGCCACCACCATCGTCGTGCCCTTGCCCGACCCGGAGGGGAGCAACAAGGCGTGCGCTGCCTCCACGGCATCATGAAGCTGCGGCCTTGACTTGAGTATGGCCTTCTCCTACGGTAAATTTAATCCATGCAAAAGGATATAAGCTACTGAAAATTGCAACAGCGTACGTCTTTGTTTGCAGGAGTGTGTTAATTGTTGATAATTATTCTTTGATGATAGAGGCGATGATGGAAAGCGCAGAAGGACAAACTTGAAGTCTGGAGTTGGCGGCGTAGCTGCTTTCGCCATCGCCACCGCTCATGGGGAGGACTCAGGGTGGACGCGGTCCGGTCCGGTCCGGGCTTTGATCGAGCCAGCCTTTGGACCGGCCGCGGCCGGTCCGGTCCGGACCGGACCGAGGTGGCCAGCGAGCCAAATTTCTAGGACCGGACCGAGAGGAGCAAAGCTCGGTCAGCCCGACTGGACCGAACGGGACCGATGGCTGGGACTCGATTTAACAGCCTGGGAGTGCTTTGTTGGCCACTGTTTAGGCTGTTTGGACGTATTTAGACTGTAGCTGTCCCTGTGAGTGCTTTATTAAGCGTTTTGGCCATTATTTAGCAGTGCCCTGTTGCGCTTTTTGGCCACAATTTAGGCTGTCCAAATTTAGTGAGTGCTCTGTTTCTTATAATGACTAGTATGTCATAACTAAATTTGAACAACATTTTATTTGTATTTTGGACATCAAAACAAATGATTTTGAGAGGAACAATATCACAAAAATCAAATGCACAAACATTGATCACTACAGTTTTCAGATAAGTTTCTTCACATAATTTTGGACCGAAACAACAGGAATATCACAGCCACAAACAACTAATTGGACAGCAAGCACATGACTAATTTTGGACAGCAAGAATAACTAAATTTGGACAGCATTTCCTTTGTTTTTTGGACATCCACAAACTGATTTTGACATGAAAGATGGCACAAATCAGGTTAAGCACAATATCACATCCACAAACATAAGGTCTTATCATCATTGAACGACACGATTACAAACTTGCTCTAACAATTCCAAGTCCATGGCAATTGACAAGTTGAACATAACACAAATGAGAGGTTCATCTCCAAGCTAGCAGTGACAATTCATAGTTCATGACAAACATAACAGAAATGTAAAAGTAGCCTTCACATGAGAAAGATCACTTTGACATTCATCTCCAAAATAGCAAGATCAACATCCACATGATGAATGTCTACAAGTAAGATAAGCAACATTCACATAAATAATATTTGGTATCGTATGACAAGTGAAACATGTAGGAAGAATAGTTACCAATCGTTGATCTCCTCCACCACAGTGGGTAACTTGATGTTCTCAACATCATCCTCTTCATTCTCATCCCTCGGCTACAAGTGTGGAAGTTAGACAAATGCTCACATCACATACAACAAGACCAAAAAAGAAATAAAGCAAAGGTAAGGAAAAGATGGCAAACATACCACCAGATTCAAGTCAACATGAGCACCCTTGATATAACTTGCACCACAAACTAATGCCTCCACCATAACCGGTTTTAACGAACTCCTATAGTGATCTAATACGACACAAGTTGACAAACTAGAGTGAGGATGAGAAGTTGACAAGTTTATATCCAAAGTTCAATAGTATGAGTTGACATACCTAAAATCCTTCCGGTCGTGCTGAAGGTAGATTCCGAAGACACGGAGGTAGCCGGGATAGTAATGAACCTCTTGGCTACCTTGGCCAACATTGGGTACCTTGGAGCATTCTCTTTCCACCAACCAAGAAGATCAAGAGCCTTGTCGCGAGGGGCAACCGCATCCTCTAAGTAGTTCCTCAACTCACTCTTTGATATTCTTGTTGAACGGGACGATAAGAAGGCCTCGTACCCAGCTTGAACCGGGATACTAGGAATGTTTGTAGAGGAATATGAGCTTTCTCCATTTCCAGCTCGCTTATTTTGAGCAACACATTTGTCATACAAGGCTGCCAACTCTTTCTCCACAGTTTTGATCTCAGTCCTAAACCTCGTACTTCCTTCTCCATATAGTTCTCCAAAGGCCCACTCTATGTAACCCATCTTGTACCTAGGATCAAAGATGATAGCATTGGAGTGAATTAGAAAGCATATGAGTAAAAAAACAGCAACCACGGGAGTAAAAACAGCAAGCATGTGTACCTAGGATCAAAGATGGTTGCGATCACCATGGCATTGTTCTTTTCTTCCCAATATTTGTCAAACTTCTCCAACATTGCTTCACCCATTTCCTTGTAGTGGTCACTGTCACTAGCCATTGCATGTTTGATTGCAAGCTTGATACCAACAATGTATGGGTAGAAGATGTTCGAAGTAGGATATAAGCTTCCTGAAAATGCTTTTGTCACCTCAGCCAAACTCTCAAGTAATGGAAAGATAAGGTCATACATGTCCCACTCTGCGTTTGTCGGCGCCCAAGCATAGTTGGCATTTGAACCAGCATGAGAGGTCAAGGCTTCCTTATATCCACGGGCAGTGCTAATCATCTTAAAGGTTGAACTCCACCTTGTTTTACAATCCAAGTGTAAATGATTACCAACTTTGACACCCAAGCTTTTGCAAGTGGCAACAAAAGCATGGAGACGAGAAGGTGACCTCTTGAAGTACTTCACCGTCTCTCTCAAGCTGTTTATCAAATTATCTAAGATCGCTGTCCCATCTTGCACGACCAAGTTGAGGATGTGTGCACAACAACGGATATGAAAATATTGGCCTTCGAAGTCCTTACCTACAAAAGAGCTTCTATATGAGCATAGCAACAAGCATATGAGCAAAAATAGCAAGCATGTGAGCACAAACATCAAACATATGAGCTCAAAGAGCAAGCATATTCAGCAAGCATATGACCAAAAACAGCAAGCATATGAGCACAAAATAGCATATTCAGCAAGCATATGAGCACAAAACAGCATATGAGCAAGCATATTCAGCAAGCATATGACCAAAAACAGCAAGCATATGAGCACAAAATAGCATATTCAGCAAGCATATGAGCACAAAATAGCATATGAGCACAAAACAGCATATGAGCAAGCATATTCAGCAAGCATATGACCAAAAACAGCAAGCATATGAGCACAAAATAGCATATTCAGCAAGCATATGACCAAAAACAGCAAGCATATGAGCAAAAACAGCAAGCATATTCAGCAAGGATAGAATCATACCTCTCCGGAACAAGAACTTGGCCTTCAAAGCATCGACCGCACCATCATTGTTTGAAGCGTTGTCAAGTGTGACGGACATAATTTTGGTCTCAATATTCCATTCTAGCACAACCGCATAGAGAGCATCCGCAATGACATTTCCAGAGTGAGGAGGATCCAACTCTATGAAAGCAAGCACACGGGTTTGTAAGTTCCAATTCCCATCTATATAGTGTGCAACCACACACATGTAAGATAAGGTTTGGTTGCTTGTCCACAAATCTGTAGTTAGACATATGGAGCTCACACCCTTTAGGAGAGATTTCAGCACCTCTTTTTCGTTCTTGTAAACCCTCATGCACTCGGCTCGTATTGCCTTCCTTCCAATGGGTTTATAATTTGGATTCATGCACTTCATCAGAATGTTGAACCACTCATGTTCAACCATTCTAAATGAATACTCATGCACACATATCATCTTAGCAATAAGCTCCTTGACGATTCCTTGGTTGTACTCAATAGAGGGGTGCATTGTTGCAGCACTTGTTGGATCATTGATTTTGCGCAGTTCAAGAGTTGTTTGGATGGCCTTCCTAGCGATCTTGTTCCTTAAACCTTCACATTTTAAGATATGCCTTCCAATAGTTGAGGTGCTGCCACCTTGCGTATACGCATACCTCTTTTTGGGACAATAATTACAAACAGCCTTCAACACAATCTCTCCCGGATGCTCCGTCGATGGCTCTTTGATCTTGTGAAAATGGGCCCAAACATCCGATGACATCCTAACAGGAGCATTGGCTCTTCGCCTCTTGTTCTTTTTCCTTTCTCTTGCCTCCTCCTCACTAGATACAACATGCACAAGTGATTCCTCGGACATAGTGTCACCTTCTAGTTCATCAGCTGATTCCTTATACCCTTCTGATGTATCATCATCCGACATATCAGCACTCGGTTGTGGTGGGACTATAAACAGATTTTGCTCCTCATATTCCTCATCGTCCTTGTCCTTGTCCTTGTCCTCATCCTCATCCATGTCCACGTCCTCGTCCTCGTCCTCCTCCTCGTCCTCATCCTCCTTCTCCTCGTCATCTACCACCTAACACACATGAGCACACAAATAAGCATCAAGCATCACCTATATGGTTATATGGAAATATGGCTACATCAAGCATCAAGTAAAGCAATCTTACAATAGTAGAGGCAGCGGCTTCCGCGGCACGCACGCCGGCACCGGTGCGGTCGGGGAGACGCCTCGGAGGTGGATGGTGTTTTTTTAACCTACAAATCAACTCTCCCATTGGGGCATTGGGAAAGTCTTTCGCCTTCCTAATCTGCACCTTAGGCTTCCTCTTCTTCCTCAGAACCGGCGGAGGCAGCGCCGAATCTTGCCTAATTAGGTAATTCACGCTTTTCTCCTTTGCCTTCGCCTTCGCATTCTCCTTACTAGCACCCTTTCCCTTCTCATTCCCCTTCTCCTTCACCATTATCTACAAAAAACAACACATAATATCTGCAGTCAGTACATTAATCAAGCGCAAAAAATCCATCTTCTTCTTTTTGTAGCATAGAAAATCATCTAGTACTAGTGCAAATAAACATAATTATCTCCTGACCATTATCTATAAAAAACAGCACATAATCCCCCTCTCATTCCCCTTCTCCTTCACCATTATCTCCTGACCAAATCATCTACTACTAGTGCAAATAAACATAATTTATCTCCTGCCATTATCTACAAAAAAACAGCACAAAATCCCCCTCTCATTCCCCTTCTCCTTCACCATTATCTCCTGACCAAATCATCTACTACTAGTGCAAATAAACACAACTATCTCCTGACCATTATGTACAAATGAAACAGCACATAATCCCCCTTCTCCTTCACCATTATCTCCTCATCAAATCAAAGACTTGCCAGCAAGATTGTTCAGCTCACTAAACTACAACATCTACTCTGTGACGTAGATTAGAGGAAGATACCAATCGGGATTGGGGCTTGGGAGTATGAACAACTTAAGAACATAGATCTCAGGAGGCTACCTTTTCCTCTTCGTGGCGCTCGGTGAGGAACCAGGGAAGGACGGACCGACGGCGTGCTGGCCTTGCTG